GCCCTGGGGGTCCGGGCCGCCTTCCTGGCCCCGCGCGTGCCGAGGAAGGGCCCGCGCTGTTCCCGCGGATTCTGCCTTCTGGTCGCCGCCCGTCGCGTACACACTGGGCTCGTTTTGACTGTATTTTAATGACAACAGCCCCCCCTTACCCACGGATCTGCTTTCGGCGGATTCAGATACCCTGGGTCCACCACAGTCTGAAAATATTAAGTGGAAATTTTCAGAAGTCAGTCCTAAGTTTTAAACTGCGCACCTCCCTGACCAGCCTGATGAAAGCCCACGCTGGCGCTGGTCCCAGCGTCCTGGACCGTCCTTGCCCAGGCTCCAGGCTGCACTGCTCCCGCCCGGTCACCCAGCCACCGCTGTTACCAGGTCAGCGGTCCTGGTATTCAAGCAGCTCTTGTTTTATTTTATGATCTATTTTGTTAATTGTTAGTCTTACTGTGCCTAATTTAGAAATTAAACTGTATCATACTTTTTTAAATTCTCACCTGGAGACCTACCTAGAAATGTCAGTTGGCTGCCTCCCGGACCAGGGATCGAGAGCACAGCCCAGCTATGTGCCCTGCCCGGAAGGGAACCAGTGCCTTTTGGTGGTGCGTGTGTGTAACACTCCAGCCAACTGAGCCACCGGGCCGCGCTCACAGGTGTTTACATACAGGAGAAAACATAGTAGGTGCAGGGTTCAGGAAGAGCCATGCTTTCAGGCGTTCACTGGGGCTTGGACCATGTTCCCTTAGATTGGGGGGATTGCTATACACGAAACACGGTGAAATTCAGAAGCTATTAAGAAACCTTTGTGTTAAATTTTAACGTATTAAAATTTTGAGAAATGAGTTCCATAAAAGATTTTAGATCCATGGTATTTTTTTACATACAACTTGTATAAAAGCCAGTATACTTAAAAAACTTTTCATTAATAAGTATAAAAAAACGAATCTTTAACAAATTGCTGAGTATTTATAACTTACAAGGAACTTTTAATGAAGCCCCCCCTTTTTTTAGTTCAAAATCCAGATCTTTAAATCTTCCTCAAAACTTAGTGACAGTCTTCCTCAGTGTGGACCTTCTAGGTGTTTACCTTAAAAATAACATCCTAAGCGCAGTGCTAGTGCTCGGGAAGGTGGAGGCTGTGAAAAGTTCAGAGTCATTCATTTCCTTATAGGGTGAGTCAAGTCACCAAACATATGCTTTGGAGAGAAGGGAGGTTTTTTCAGTTACTTTCTACTGGAAGATACGGGGACAGACTTCACTGCTGGCTGCCAAGTAATTCTTCTCATCCAGTGGAAAGTACATCTGGAGGGTTTTGATTATCCAGATGATTTAGAAGCCTTTGCATAGTGTCCTGCTTGATGATTTGTTTGGATTAGTTTTGATGATGTGCTGCTAGTTCCACAAACACGTAACGGCTTGTGCAGTGTGAGCTTCGGGAGCACAGTGTGCGATGTTCGGCGAGACCGGGTGCCATGCAGCCTGGATTCCACTCCTTGCTCTCCTCTCCCCATGTTGTACTTTGAGCGCTTTATTTCTCTAAGCCTCAGTTTTCCCGTCTGTAACATGGAGATCGCAGTAATACACAGTAATACCTACCTCACAAGATTAAACGTGAGGCATAAATAAATGTCAATGGGTGTGAAACACGTAATACGTGCATGGCATGTACAAGTCCTTGGATTTTTAAGAAATATTTTCCCACCTGTAGGCTCAGCATTCTGGTGGGGTCCTGACAGTCGTGTGACTGTCTCCTGGGCATATTCTGCCTTTGCCCTGTTCTCTCCTGAGCCCAGAGTTGGGGCTGCCAGCGCCCCTTAGAGGCAGTGCATCTTCCTGCCATCCCCCTCCCGCCTTACCTGCTCCAGCTGGCCGGCATGCACCCTCGACCCTCAACTGGCAGGAGTGGGAAGGTTGCAGTGTTGGAACAAGGCTCCCAGAAGCCAATCCTACAGCCCTGCGGGGGAGGCTGCAGTGAGGTGGGAGGCAGGCCGGGCAGATGGGCCCACAGGAGTCACTAGACCAGGAGGGCCCCCCACCTCACCTCACATCGCGGTATTCATCCTGCCAGGTGTGCTCTGAGTTTCTTGGGTCTGTGGTTTGATCACTTTCAGTAGTCTGGGCAGTCCTGCCCATCCCAGGGGCGGGGCAGGGAGCTCTGCATTGTCCTGGCCCTGCCTGCTCCCCGGCTGGTGTTCTGTCAGGGACTCTGCCCCTCCCCGTGCCTGGGTCTGTGGCGGGTGGGTTTGCAGCGGCTGCTGTTCTCACAATGGAAAGAGGGAGGGCTGCCCACCCTGGCACGAAGTGTCCTCCCGGTCCCCAGGCTTGGGAGCCAGCACACTCTGCCCACCCAGCAAGTGGGCTGCACATGCCCTGTGTCGGTTTCAGAGGGTTTACACGGGCTTTCCCACACTGCCTTTACAATCAGGGTCTAACTAGAGTTGTCTCACCTGCCCTGTGGGGCCTCTAAGGCAGGGTTTCAGGCTGGCTGGTGGCCCTGTCACCCCAGCTCTCCTGTGCATTCAAGGGAGATGCTCTTCCCAGTTGGACATCCCGGGGGCTTTAGAACATGAGAAAAATATTAACTTTTACCACCAGCCCAAGTTGACTAATCAAGAAACACTAGAGAAGTGTGGGAGCCACCTGTTCGTGTTTTTAATGACTTCCCAGGTGATTCCTTTCCGGGAATCACTAACCTCAGGGTTAATGCACTGAGGATGCCTGGTGTTGAGTAAGTGCTAAAATAAAACGTCGTCAAACTATAAATTCTACTCCATCCAGCTGTTCTTTGTGGAAGAGCCACGAAGAGACGGGCATGTCAGTGTTTTCATGAAGCAGGCATATGGTTATCTCGGTCCAGGGGACACAGGACCCGCTCGCTATGTGCTGCTTCTCATAGAAGGGCCGCAGCAGCCCAAGCTGGTTTCCTGCCGTTGGAAACACGACTCCCCTGCCCTTCACTTTCCCGAAACAGATCTGAGTCATCCAGTGCGGGGGGGACGGGGGCACTAATTTTAGTTGCTGGTCCCACCTCTTGGGTTCCACCCTGTGTCCTGTGTAGACGTTCCAGACTCAGCTTTCAGACCTCTCGTGCACACTGGGTCTCAGGCACACACGTGTTCTTGGTCACTCATGTTCTCAGTCATCCTCATGTGTTCACCCATACTCTCATGTGCTCTCGCTCACACGTGTTCTCGCTCACTTGTCCTCACGTGTTCTCACTCACATGTGTTCTCGCTCACCCTCCTTTATCCACTCCGGGCACTTTCTGTCCCCAGCGCCCCCTGGGCTCAGGGACATGTCAGCTGCCCCTTCAGGGCATGGACATGGGTCTTTTCTACTTTGCGTTCAAATCTCTCCTCAAACCCAGCTGAGTCCTGTTCTCCCATGAATCCTGCACCTGCCTCCCTGGCGTTTGGTGTCTCTGAACTTGGGTAGCATTTAAACAAACATCTCACCATTTTGACAAGGCTCATGTGAGTGGACCCTCTGTGGCCTGATGAGTTTATAATCTCAAGTGTCGTCCCTTCCAGGGGACCCACCCTTTGACAGGGCCTCTCATTAGTCTTGGAGGGTTTCCTTGGGTTTCCTGACTCTGCCACATGCCCCAGGCCTGTGACCTGCTGCTTCCCAAATCCCTGGTTCCTCTTAGTGGACAGTGTGTGTGGAGGTGATAACTAGGATAGGGGAGAGTAGACACACTGAGGTTGTCTTGCTTTCTGTGCCTGCTGTTTTGGGGGGGCAAGGGGAAGCTTGCTCCATCCTGCCGTCAGGCATGCAGGTTTACATCTCGTTTCTCTTGCTGAAAAACCTCAGTCTTTCAGGACTTTTGAAACAGGTTGGAGAACCCAGACTCCTCGAGTTTGTGCTTATTTATAACCAACCACTTCCCAGAGGGACTGGAGCTGGACCGTGTGACTCCAGGTAGTTAGGTCATGCAGTTTCACTTAGCACTCCTCCCACGTCGTGAAGCACGAGCAAGTTTGCTATGTGCAGTGTCCACTGTGATGGGAAACAGTGTTTCCGTACAGTAGTTTTTACCTGTCCACGTCCACGCAGTGGACCGTAGCCAGCCGTGCAGGAGTTATTGTAGGATAAATACCCACTGGCACGACCAGCAGAAACACCCAAATACTGATTGGATGGACAGAACATGTTCTGGTCCTGTCAGGAACATGCAGATCAAGGCAGTGACAAAGTACCATTTTTAACTGCCAGTGGACTGACTTAGTATCTCTTTTTGGTGAGGGTATAAAGGAGGGACGTTTTCATACACTTTTGGTGGGAATATAAATCGGTACAGTGTTTCTTTATGGTAATTAGGTAGTACCGTCAACGTAACAAAGTGAACATGTATCTTTGACCAGAACGTCTACTTTTGGAACTCCAGTTTGCCTGTGCATACCAAAGCACGGATGTAAAAAGATATTCACTGCCGTGGCTTGTGTGGCTCAGTGGTTAGAGTGTCGGCCTGTGGGCTGAAGGGTCCCGGGTTCAGTTCTGGCCAAGAGAACGTACCTTGGTTGCATGCTCGATCCCCAGCCCCGGTCGGAGCGCGTGTGGGGGGCAGCCAGTCAGTGTGTCTCTCACATCTCCCTCCCTCACTCCCTCCCTCTCCCTTTTTCTCTCTCTGAAAAGCAATGGAGAAAAGATACTGAGTCTTGACTTAACAAAAGAGAAGTTGCAGATATTCTGCATGCCCATCAATAGGAGGGTGGGTGTACAGATCATTATGTACTTTTACTGGAGAAAACTATGACATTGTCAAAAAACAAAACGGGCAGCTCTCCATGTACCCACAGGGCATAATGTCCCTGATGTTTTACAAAGTGAAATGCAAGGGGCAGGATAGTGTTATATGTAAGAGAAGCAAACCTGTATGATTCAATTTGATCATTGGAAATAACTTGGATAATATCTCCCCCCTTTTTCTTAAACAGCTTTTAGAGATCAACTGGACAGGCCTGACTAATCTTCTCGATATCCCTGGACTGAAGTGAGTATGATGTCATGCGCTATGGTTAGCCTGTTGATGGTGTACCAGCCTCTCTTCCAGGTGACCCTGGGCCCTTGCAGCAGCTGGGCTCTGTCCTCGTGGCCACGTCTGCAACTGCGAGCAGAGTGGTTTCAGGACTTAAACGGAGCCACTTGCCCTCCGCTTACCTTTTGTTCAGAACAGTGGCAGCCTTCTAATATCCTAAAAATAGATTTTTAAATTTGGTTTTTATTTTCCTCAAAAAATAAAACTTAAGAAGCTAATACATGTTTCAAAACTAGCCCTTTCTGGTTCTTCTCAAGCTGTAGCCACGCCTCCTCAGAGGGTAGATGTCAGCGCTGGACCTGGGAGCCAGGGTGTGGGTGGGGGGCCTGAAGTTCCTGCATCGCCCCTGGGAGTCCCTCCGCTAGTCTGTAGCGATCCAGCGTCTTAACCGTGGAGCTGTGGGAGTGTGTGCATCCGTCACGCTTGCTTCCCCCGGGAGAGGAGTGACGTCCTCCTGGTTGTGTCACAACCATTGTCTCTCCTGGTGGCGGTGACTGCAGCGGGCCTGTTGGTCTCCACCAAGCGGGAAGTTGTGAGAGTGCAGCCTCCACACCTGCTCCTGCTGGTTGTACTATTGGGGGGGCACCACCTGAAGGTTTAAACTCCATTACTTACTGGTTAGAGTTGCATATGGTCCTAAGGTGAGGCCCGGATCTCATTGCTGCCCTGGACGCCCGCCCAAGTGGTGCTGAGTGATCACCCATTGAACCCTCACCGACTCTCGCTCTCTTCCTGTGGGTGGTGGTCTTATACGTGCAGTTATTTCACACCTGAGATGTGGGCTCTTGTAGAACGTGGCAGGTGCACAGGTGTTCTTCTGGGGCAGTGACCCTGCATTTATGTAGCTTTTGTAGGTGTCCACGTGCATGTCACTAATCCTCACGGTCACCCCAGAGAGCAGGCGAGAAATACACCAAGTGTGTGTGTGTTTCTTCAGCCTCCACAGTTTCACTCACATTCCCGAGGCCCCTGTGTGGTGTGTATAGTATTTCAAAGTTGTTACAGTGTTCAGTGCCCAGATCCAGTGTGAGTAAAACATAGGTCCGTTTGATCCCCTGGGAGCTATGCATCCATAACAAGAAACTTAGTGCAATAAACAGGGAGTGAAAATGGGTGTTAGAGTGGTCTCTGGACTTTTACGGGCGTGTGAAATATTTCATGTTGAAAAAAGAAACTGAGTGAAACATGTTAGTTATTCAGAATTGAATCAATGGTGAAGTTACTTAGGAAATGTTGTTTAGGACGTTACAAAATGTTCTCAGTATAAACCCTCCGTAACAGGCACCAAGGCAGCATCACAGCTAACACATCGACCTGCTGGGGGTTTTGCGTGTGGTTTTTAATATATGTGTGTGTGTTGGTGCGGGGGGTATTGATTTCAGAGAGAGGAAGGGAGAGGGAGAGAGAGAAACATCCGTGATGAGAGAGGCATTGGTTGGCTGCCTCCTGCACGCCTCCTGCTGGGGATTCAGCCCACAACCTGGGCATGTGCCCCGACCAGGAATCGAACCTCGATCTCCTGGTTCACAGGTCAACGCTCAACCACTGAGCCGTTCCGGCCGGGCCTGACCTGCTGGTTTTAAACTTGTGTTGGGGAGGAGACCATTCTGACCCTGTAAACTGGTTCCTGTGTCATGTTTGTGGTCCGCCAAAGGCGATGAGCGTGTATGTGTCTGATGATTGTTTCGTTCTCTCTCCCTCCCACCTGACAGTGGTTTATCAGATACCATCATTTTGGATATAATATCAAACTATCTGGTGCTTCCCAACCGGATCACTGTTCCTCTCGTCAGCGAAGTTCAGATCGCCCAGCTGCGGTTTCCAATACCAAAGGTAAGGGTGTCCCGGCCTCCGTTACCACCTACACAGGCGGGGGCGGGGGCGGGGGGCGGTTCACACCCTGGGGTTGTAACCTCCCATCAGGTCCCACGGCCCTCCTCACAGCCCCCGCCCCGCGGATGTGGTGTAGCCGGTGGCTTGTCTTTGCGCCCCCAGGGCTGGTGTGCATCAAGGCCTCGGGGAGCTGCGACAGCCTAGTTGCCGTCTCAGAGACGGGCTGTCTGTGCTGAGAGACCATCACGGCTTTGTCTTCGTGCCGGGAACACAGGTTTCCCTCAGCCTGAGTTTAATGAGGAACACAGTAGAATATGAAGGGACAGATCTCCCCGTGCTGATTGGCTCGGGAATATTACCCAGGAGTTTTTAAAAGGGTCCACGGGGGGGGAAGGCCAGCCCCCCAAAAGGTAACCTTACTGTCTTGGTTTGCTTTGAAAGGAATGAGTGAATGTATTTTATCAGTTAAACATTTTAGGAAAAGAGTCTGGGTAGCATGTATTTCAAAGCTTCAGTTTCTTACCCATAACTAGGTTTAATGACAGTATTTCATAGGGTTATTCTAAAACTCAGAGTAACCTGCGTACCACGGCTCAGTGATGGGTCTGACATGTCCTTTACCATTAGTGTCACTTCCCATGGAATCAAAACGGGGTGGTTCTGTGACCCACGAGCCTGTCTGATCTGACTGTTGCTGCCCCCCCTCCTCCGCCTGCCCCTGGGGCTCCTGTAGCGAGTGTGGCTCCGGGACATCGGCCAGGAGAAATCTCTCCAGGAGCCAGTGACTCCACCCCACCCCTCCTGCCTCCGCGTCCAGTCTGAGTATGCCCACCGGACCCTTCCGTCCTGCCGTGCTTTGGTTTTCCTGACATTTTCCACATCTGTTCCCTCCTCACTGCGTTCCTGGGACAGACGGTCAGCATCCAGCCGGTGTGCCTGTCAGGGAACCGGTGAGCAGGTTATGCTCTTGTATTTTTCAGGGTGTTCTAAGGATCCACTTTATCGAAGCTCAGGACCTCCAGGGGAAGGACAGGTACCTTAAGGGACTTGTCAAGGGAAAGTCGGACCCCTACGGAGTCATTCGCGTTGGGAACCAGATCTTCCAGAGCAAGGTTGTCAAGGAGAACCTGAGCCCGAGGTGGAACGAGGTGTACGAGGTAAGGGCGTCCGGCCGCCGCCCGGTTTCCCCGTCGCTCTCCCTCGTCACCCGGGGCTTGGCTAATTGAAGTGGCAGCTTAACTTCTCTTTGCTTCCACTCCGTCCTTAAATGGAGTTGCACCTCTGTCCCTACCTCACAGCATTTTTATCAGGCCAGCATGTAACACTTTAGACCTTAATTACATGAAGCTGCCGCAGTCAATCGTGGGTAAAACTTCTCCTAATGTGAATGTTTCATGTTGTTATTAACACAAGTGAGTGAGGTATGTGCTGTCCTATAAGTTACCGTCTAACACACCTGGACATCTGCACTGTCAGTAAGTACAGGTCGACCTGATGTATAACAGCCTTTCGCTGAACAGACACCGTCATCTCTTCCCAAAGAGCCTGGCTGTTGGGTTCAGCTTGATGACTTAATAGGTGCGGTGCAGGTGTCAGGTGAACGCATTTTCTTTCTGTGGCCACCTTTTCCCCGGTAAAGCTCAATGTGAAACTGCTGCAGCAGCGTTACCGGTGCTGGAAGGCAGAGCGCCCGTGCCCCAGAGCTAGTGCAGGTTACGCTCCTCCAGCCGCAGCCCAGTCCCGTCGGTCCCCACGTTCTCTCAGTGGTGCTCGCGGTGGCTGGTTCCTCAAGGGTAGTGTCCGAGTGGAGCCTGACCAGGCTGTGGGCCTGTCCAGTTCTGGGACCACTAAGCTCGGTCCCTGAGACGTAACCCCACCTGAAACAAGCACAACAGGCTGTTGCCGTGTGGGTGTGTTTCCATGTGAGGTGTGCGGGGTGTGGCACTAAGACAAGGCAGGTGCTTTACAAGGACTGACCACGGGAGAAAGACACGTGGTGATGTTTGCTGTGATCTTCATACGCAGTAGGTGACGATATTGGTAAAAATGTAAGATAACCACCAGTCACTTGTTTTTCAGGCCTTGGTCTATGAACATCCTGGGCAGGAACTGGAGATCGAGCTCTTTGATGAAGACCCAGACAAGGACGACTTCCTAGGAAGGTAAACCTCTTCTGAGCCGAGTGTAGTGTCAGCTCTTAAAACTATAGCTTCATAGACAGGTTGGTGTATATGTTGTGTTTGCTTTTAAGTGGCTGTTAGATGTAACATTTGTCTCTCTCAGGCTTCCTAACACATTTTATTCCTAACCATTGCACATGTTAGTACGAGAAGGCAAACTGCTAGATCTGTGTCCATCCCAGCACCCACTAGCCACAGGCAGCTGGTTAAGCTAAATTGATTAAAGTTAAACAAAATTTAAAAATCACTTTCATGGTTGTGCTTGTCCCATTTTAAGTGCTCAGTAGCTACGTGTGGCTTGTGGCCCCTCAGGCCAGGGCAGCTCTCCAACCTTAGCACCATGCAGGCAGCTTCACTATAGATTGTAGAAATGGGTTTTTAAACATAATCAATTTGTTGGAGTTGGGGGAGAAGGGAATAGTAATTTACATTGAAAAAAGAAATACTGGTTTGTTCACTTCACTTGAACAACCAGTACAGCTGAAAAAAGATACAAACATAGGTGACTCTGCACAGGTTTGGCCTCACCAAGAATGGCCTGGGTGTCCTGCTGCGACTTCAGAATTCATTCACGAGACAGTTTAACAAGGAGCCACCAAGAGACAACAGATTCAGTTTGCATTTCAGTAAAACCACTGTATAGATTAGGTTATCCTATTGGGAATACAGATGTCAGACCACTGGAGACTTGTAACGGGCCAGGAAAGAGATGTGAGGCCTCACCTGAGATGGATCATGGGGCAGAGAGGAGGAGGGGCAGCTACAGGAAACACAGCGGAATCGTCCTTAGTCGTGGCTCCCAGGGTGGCGTCAGTCTCTGCAGTGGAGCTGGGTTGTTTAGCAGACACAGAACAGGCTGTCTAGATGTGCTGAGCGAGGTCTCTGTGTGGCTCTGACACAACGGGGGTCCAGAGCGAGGAGCCAGGTGGGGAGGGTGGTCAGGGCCTGGTTCAGGGCTCTGGTGACTGAGCCGCAGGGAGCAGTGTCAAGCAGGGCTGGTGTTCGTGACCGTCTGTGGCACGTTGTGAATTGCTGCGTCGTGCGGAGACCCGCCCTCCTACAGCTCTAACCCATCTCTCCCTGACCTCTCTGCACACTCGGCTGTCTGCTGGTGAAGCTTTTGGAAGGAGTCTGCTTCTTGATAAGCTAGCATTTTGTTGCACTTCTGGACTCCTTTATCCTAGACACATACCTGTGGTAATTGCAGCTGTGAGAAGTGTCTCTCAGCTCTCATGTTGCTCTGTTGTTTCTCTAGTCTCATGATCGACCTGACGGAAGTGGAGCAGGAGCGGCTTCTAGACGAGGTGAGTTTTCTGTGCATCTCATTCCATTTACTGAGCACTGACCGAGTTTACTGCCCTTACTCTTGCCCCACAGCGTCCTAACACTTAACATTTGCCTCTCAGATATCGAGAACTCAGGCCTTTTAGTAAAGCGAAGTGAAAAGAAGTTTAAGAGCCAAATGCTAGAGTGTGTGTCGGTACCTGCCAGGTGTTAGACGTTTCGTAGACACCAGCACAGGCCAGCTTTGTTTCAGGCGGAAGTGTGCTCTTCCCCCTAGTCAGGGCGGGGCCTTTGAGAACCTGCCTGATGACCAGCATTGTAAAGATGCTGGACTTGAAGCAGAGCAGGCGCTGTGCCCTCGATGGGAATCGTCACAGGAAAGGTCTGTAAATGCAGCGGGTCTGTAAACACCACTTCAGGCAGGATACTGCTCCCAGAACAGAAGTATAAAGAAGGGCAGTGAGGCGGCTTGTAAAGGATGGTCGGGTGGGGACGGGCCTGCTGCTTTCGGAGTAGCCGAGCTCCTGTGGCTGTCAGCACTCACCTGGTGAACACAAGCTGCCTGTTGGGCGCAGGTCCTGGGTCACGGTCAGCTCTTCTAATGACGAGGGTTTGGGACAGTCTCTCATCAGTTGTTTTGTGGTTTTTAAGCTGAAATAACTATGTACTGTTATTAGTATGTAGTGATGAGTAAAAACAGACGCGTTAACTTGTTTGATATTGAAATTTGGGTTTTGGGCTTGATGTTATATTACTGCTTGGCCCATAAAGTCTATTAAAGTCCATCAGTAGAGGCTGATGTAGCAAGAGACATCTAAATCCTTGTGTATAAATTAGGGCTGAAAGTTACTCACCTCTCAGGCTTTGGTGGGACCGACGAGTTAGTGTTTGAGAAGCGTTGGGATGGTCCCAGGCAGCAGGCAGGGGTGGGAGTGTTCATCCGCGTGAACCACGAGCTCGCTCACACAGCTCAGGGCCAGGTGCGGGGGGAGGGGTGTTCTGTCCTCGCATCTGTGAGGAGTGTGGGCGCCACAGGTAGTGAGCAGCTGTGACATTGTGCAGACTGTTAACGTGAACGTCGATTCAGGAGAACTGCTGCTGAACCTGCACTTTTTGTCTCCAGTGGTTCACCCTGGACGAGGTCCCCAGAGGAAAGCTGCACCTGAAACTGGAGTGGCTCACACTGATGCCACATGCCACCCACCTGGACCAGGTGCGTGGCATGCGCTCCCGACTGCTGGGATCAATTCCTTCCGGTTGTGTTGCACCTAGTTCAAAAAACTACAGCAGTGCTTTGGATTGCTGTGCTAAAACTCACTACAGTGATCTCAGGGATAAGTTAGAGATAAAGGAATTTCTAAAGAGATTTGTGGGTTATTTACTCCTGTTTTATGAGATCTTCAAGTCTTATGCTTGATACAGAGCAGGGGTTTGGAGAGCCACAGATCACTGGTCCTTCTGTTGATTTATAGAGAATCTTAAATGTGTCTACTCTGTGCCTGCACGTATTGGGGATCTGTTTCTACCTTGTGCCTTCAGGTATTGGGGATCTATCTGTTTCCACCTTGTGCCTGCAGGTATTGGGGAATCTGTTTCCACCTGGTGGTGCCTTCAGGTATTGGGGATCTATCTGTTTCCACTCTGTGACTGCAGGTATTGGGGGTCTATTTCCCACACTGCTTTCTTGAGCATCACAGGCTTATGTAGTCGGGTAGCAGGCATCTAAAACTGTGTGGAAACGTGCTGCTGAGGCTCTTCTTCCTTGCAGGTGCTGACAGACATCAGAGCTGACAAGGACCAAGCCAACGATGGCCTCTCCTCCTCCTTGCTGATCTTGTATTTGGATTCGGCGCGAAACCTCCCGGTAGGTAGGGCTGTGGGAGCTCCCGTAGGTGTTGGCGTCCACGCCGTCCCCTGTTCTGCTGCGTGTTCTCTTCCCTCCGCCGGAGCCATGGAGCTGGAGGGTATGACTGTGTCAAACAACTCTGTCATCCGGGTGTTCAGAGGCCTCTTTACTCTGACAGGTTTTATGAAGAAATCTCCAGTACAGAGGAGGTTCACGCAATTCCACCCTAGGTAGGGGCGAAGGTGTTCTGTAGAAAATCACTGAGGATAAATATTTTACTCTATTTACATGGGAATAAAGTGAAGCAGCTCTGATGACAAACCCAGCTCAGCCCAGCTGCAGCCTGGGGGTGGCGGGTGGGTCGGTGGGGGGCAGAGTGCTTCCCTGGGTGCTCTTCTGCCACACGTGGCTTCCATGGCCCAGGGCTGCCCCTACTTGGCATCAGAATTGTTTTGCTCCTAGAAAAAAACCACAAAGTACAGTTTTTATAGATAATGACTCTAACTTGGAGAAGGAAAACCCTGCATTTTCATTTGTGAGAGGCCTGCTTGACCCCCACGTCCGTGCTGGAACCCGCTGTTCATTGTAAACGCCCTGCTGTGTTGATAATGTTTCAGGTGCCCACTCACTGGTTCCGTAGATGGACGTTCTTGCCTTATCCATGTGTCAGAGGCCAGTGTTGTTAAGGAAAGAGGTTGCTCCAGGTGCCGTGTTTCCTCCCAAGGTGGTGACAGTGCTCATTCCCCCAGGCCGCTCGTGTCCCCAGAGCCCCTCTCCCTGTGCAGACAGACACACAGGGAAGCAGAGGGCAGCTGGCCCTCGGCCACCACCTCAGTGTTTCACTCGGGCCTCCGTCCTGGTCTCTCACGTGGGTGGATGGGGCCTCCTTTATTTCATGAGTACACAGCTCATCTCGGCACCTTTCAAGGTTTCAAAACTGTGCGTTATTTGGGTTTTGCTTGACAGCACAGTAAATGCACTTTGTGTATCAGGCCCTTTATTTAAAGTGTTTGACAGTTAAAACCCGATGAGTCATCTATTTTTTTCATACTGGGAACATGTAATTGAACTCTCTGTAATTGTATGGGGTGTCCTAAAACAGGCGTACACCCTTCAAAGGCTGATAACTCAGTTTTGAAAATGAAATGCTCAGTAAATACTGTCTTTGTAATTATTCAGTGTGTGTAGGCATTTTTTGGGACACCCTGTGTATGTAGTTGGCTTTTTTTTCTAACTATATCTGTTGATTTCAGAGAGAGGAAGGGAGAGGGAGAGAGAGAGAAACATCAGTGATGAGAGTCAGGGATCGGCTGCCTCCTGCACACTCCCTGCTGGGCATCGAGCCCAAAACCCGGGCCTCTGCCCTGACCGGGAACCGAACCCCGATCGCCTAGGATCCTGGGTCGACGCTCAACCCGAGCCACGCCCGGCCGCGCTGTAGTTGACTCTTGAACAGCGTGGGGATTGGGCTGCCAACGCCAAGTTGAAAATCCATCTGTAACCCAACCCCCTGATCACGTGGATCCCCAGCCCGGGCTGGAAATGCTGCTGCCCCCGAGCAGCCCGGGTGTGCGCTCCAGGGTCCACGAGGCACAGCTGTTCGAGGCCGGCTGCACTGTCCTCCTTGGTGGTAGTTTCTTTGCTGACCGAATTTCTGACTGTCTCTGAAAGTGTCGCCTCCACCTCTTGGCTTGTCTTCCGGTCTGAGGTGTGTGGCTTTATCTGTTAATAGTTTTAATTTGGGGGAAGTTGTTACGTTATTATTTGACCTTTCTACAGAATTTCTTGTGTGGAAGAACTTTTTGTTTTTAACCACAGTAATGTTTGTTATCAAATCTTATTATGCCTGATGGAAATGAACCTGGTATTTTAGGGTATACAGACTAGTACTGTTGAATTCGCAAGAAGGGATTAGGCTGCTTTCAGAACTGTGTTTTATCATTGAAATGAAATTTGAATGATGCCACGTAAGTAAAAAAACAAAACAAGTGAATTTGTTAGCCTTCTGCTGAAGGGCACCTGGTGCTTGAGGTGTTTTGTGCCCCGACCCCCAGAGGCAGAGGGCCTCCCAGCACCGGCCCTGCAGGCGAGTGTTTCACACGGGCGTGGCCGTGGCTCTGCTCGGTCCTGCGCTCCTGTCACTGTGCTGCTCCTGCGTGCATTCACCACAGCCCACCGTTCTTTGCTTTCTCCCCCGGTGTCCACGTCCCTAAGAGCATCTACGAGGGAAACTTCGGGTGTGGCTACTTAAAAGAGAGGCGAGCGTCCGGACTAGTGTTTTGTGAAAATACCGCCTCGGTCTATAGAGCACTATTTGTGAGTTCTCGGTGCTTTCTTCCGTGTGTCTTTCTTAACGGAGACGGGGGCGTGTGGACGGGAACCTCTGTGCGTCTCTGCAGGCGTGGCATGCTCTTCACTGTCCGCATGACTTCAGGTGCCGCGTTTGCTTGTTTGTGCCTGTTTGTAGAATGCGCCCCTGCTGTGACTAATGGGTGACTACATCTGATGGTGAGATGAAGCAGGCTGAGCCTGAGAAAGCCCACGAAAAAATTAGAAAGTTCTTCCACGGAAAAGTGGAGCCAGTGGTTCATTGGATTTTCTTGTGGTTCATCTCAGTGTGAGATGTAAACATTTCTTCACAAGCTTTCAAAAGCCTCCCTTAAATCTGCTTCCTCCTGACCAAACTGAAGTGTTAAAACTTGGCTTTCCTTCAAGTCCCCGTGGTGCCTGTGGGCATGGTCAGCGACACGTTCACTCCTTTCCCGAAAACGTGCCTTGTCCCTGGTCCTCGGGAGAAAAACACTCCTGAATTTGTGATGCCGCTTCTCTTAAGGAGCTTGAAGAATGTCCTGCAGTGAACAGTCGTGCATCTCTGACCATGTTCGTTCTGTTTCCCGGGGTCGGCTATGGCACCTCCATTCCCAGCACTGTCCTTGTTGCCTGTAGCAGATAGTTACCCTTAGCTGCTTCGGGGCGAAGGGAACCCACCGGTGGCATAGTCACTAGTCCAGAGTGTCACCCTTTCTGACTAACTACTGATTTAATTCAATTCTTAGCGAGTCTTCAAGTCCACTGGTCCTTGAACCTAAGAGGGGTCGGGCTTTGCATTTGGGGGTTCTCCTTTCTGTTCCCACATGAAAGGGGCAGGCAGAACGTGAAGAATGGGTGTACTGTCCTAGTTTATGGGGAGGAAAATCAGGCCCCGAGGGTGGGGTGAGGGTTCAGCCACCCTGACAATAAGCAGGCCCCCCCACCTGCACCTGTGTGAAGCCTGGTGGTGCATGCGGGCATCTAATTTGCACTTTTTTTTTTTTTTTTTAAGAAAGGACAAGTATATACTAAGAGCCAATTACATCTTCTGTTCCTCATGAAAAAAAACGGGTCATTGGAGAGGGTTGACGATTCCAACCAGGAGGAATGGTGGGGGTGTTTCTTAACCTGGACGCATGTGTCACATCCAATGGGCATTGGGCACAGGC